GAAGTAAGAAGAAGTAAGAAGAAGAAGAAGAAGAAGAAGAAGAAGTAAGAAGAAGAAGAGAGAGAGAGAGAGAGAGAGAGAGAGAGAGGANGGAGAGAGAGAGAGAGGTCCCTTCAAGAAATCGAAAGAGAGTCTTCTTTTTTGTGAATTCTCTTGAAATTTGCAGGAGTGCATACTTCGTAGGCATGCAATCCATGTCATGGCATTTATTGCGGCTTCTGGGAAAAGTGGCACTGGAATTTTATTAAATTGTGCAATTTCTATCAAAGTCAACTTTTTAGAGTCACTCTTGAAGATATTGACATCGGAACTGGACTCTGAAGAAGCAGAAATAACTGCAAATGTGTCACCCAAAGAGAGGTGGATTTTATCTTTTGCATTTTAAGTTTCTGAAGATATAAATAATATTCTTCTACTGTTCATTTGTAATATGAACTTTTCTTGCCATCCACTGAGACATTGGCTTTTAATATCCATTTTAGTTTTCTAATTGTATTTTGCTGTAATTATTATATGAAAAATGTTAATGAGGTTTATTTCTTACTCTCTTTTGGATAATCTCTATTATTGTATATCAATCTCCTATTGATTACTTATTATACATTTATTAACGTTGCAAAGACCCACAAACTAATTTTTTCCATACATAGTCATATAAAACTTTTCCTTTCAAAATGTCAGAAAAATCAAAAGCTGGGATGAATCTCGTTTTCGGAAATTCTTTTTATATGGGAAATTTTTCGAAATTTTGGTTCCCCTTAGGTTAAAAAAAAAATGCTTAGAAAACTAAAAACTGAAATTTGAGTTAGGAAAGATATTTTTCGTATATTATTAACCTTGTCTTGTGAAGAACATTGTTCTGGAAAAATAAAAGCAGGAATCCCTTGCATTATTATGAGAAACACCTTTTTTTGGAAAATTTTCTGTATTCTCTTAAGATCAATGACAAATAACTCTATTTCTCTTTTTGCTAATTATTCTTGACCAGTATTACGGAACTCCCCCGAGTCCAATCGAACTCGGAAGAGTAGGGTGAGGCTGAGTTACCCCGAGTTGTGTACAACTCGACACATAAAAAAATTGAAAAAACTGCAAAAATTGTAAAAGATATGGGACTGTTCTATAAATTTTTATATATAAATTGGATGTTTTGGAAAATATTGGTGAGTTTTTTTTGGCATAAATTCTATTTTATTATTTTTTTGAATTTTTAATATGCCCCCTACTATAAATCATTTTTTTTATTCATTTTTCTATACTTTTTAAACCTTATTTGGAATTTTTAATGTTGTTTTTGGTTTTATTTAAATTTTAGTAGCTTCATTGTATTTTTCAAAATTTTATTTTATTTTTATTTTTCATTTATGTAATTCACCTGGCCGAGGCCTATTCCTAATCATTATTCTTGACTGTGGTTGGTTCTTACTTTTTTGCCCTATTTATCTTTTAATGGACAGGACATTGCTTATTCGAGAAGCTTTAATTCTTTTGTGTCGACTGGTTTCTAACCCCACTTACTCTAAGCTTGTTTTGGAGAGCTTAACAAGCAGCCGAGAAATGTCAAGATCAGCCATTGATATAACAAACCGGATCACCAGAAAACGCAGAGATGACCGTAGATCGGCAAACCAGGGTGACATTGTAGACTTAGCTCGTGTATTTAGGGCAAGGATTTTGCCTGCACTAGATACCTCTATAATTCAAAATCAATGTGCTTATGGCTAGTGTGGTGGGATGTAAGAGATACTGACTAAATTAATCCAGACCATTCAGGTCGACGCTGATATTGGAGATGGAATGTGATGATGTTGGACTGATCAGTGAATTTTGTATGTAATGGCTGTGAACTGTAGAATATTTTTGAGGAAACGATTTTGAGCTTCTGTTCATTCTCATTTCTTTTCTTGGGTTCTAATCACCAGACAGCAGTTGGTTTTATCCAGTTTATAGCGACAAGAAATAAATGAAAGCTATGTTGCTGATGAAAAGATTGACAAGTACGAATAATTCATCTTTGATTCAATTTTCACGGAAATTTCTCAAACGACTCGAGGGATTAACTACTTAATATCGGACTATTTTGATTAAATTTTAAAAATCTTATCCAAGGACACCATTAGAAATTTTAGCGGGGGTACTAATCAATTTCAATCAAATAACATTTGAGACCAATGAAAGAGCCCAGGGTGCGAAATCCGAATGTTGGGTCTTCTGGTCTTTTGGGGAAGAAGCCAACGAGCAAATGTGTTTGAGGTGGGCTCAGTTGCTTGCTTCAGTGGTTCGAAGAGGTTTGCAAGCGAGGAGATGGAATTCAAATCGAGGGGTTATTCTAGCTTTTGGAGAATGTATACTATGCTCGTCTGGGAGCACAGTATACATCTACTCCAACATCGAATGATTTTTTCAATCTGGCTTTTGTCGAAAGAATAATATGCTCCCCCTGGAGCAGTGTACATTTACTCCCTCGGTCAGAACATCTACTTAAGATGGTGTACTGTGATTACATAAAACTCAAGTTGTACATCTTTACTTTGTCCACTTAATTCTAATTCTATGTGTGACATTTTCTTCAACTCCCCATTTTTTTGGATTATCGATCTAAAATATAGAGAGGAAACACTTTTGGTATTTCTTGACTGTCAATATTAATTACTTCCTTGTCTCTTATCCTATTATTACAAAACTTCAAATCACTAGATAATTGTTTTCAAGGAAACAAATTTTGAATTTTGAGCATTCGAACACTTAAATCTTACCCTCCAAAAATTGGATGGTCTCTTTTCACTCTTGAGACATTATTTTTCTAATCATAGAGGGTGCAATTTGGATTTTTTTGTTGTTGAAGTTAACCCATAGGTTGAAGAGGTCATAACCATAAAATTTGTGATCCTAAAATCACTCTTAATTGGGTTTTATCCGAGGGGTAAATACTAAATAGACAATATACTCCCGCACAAGTATAAAATCTTTTGGCTAAGAGGAATTAAGATGACTGAGTAGCGGGCATTTGGGATTACTGATCAACATTTCAATTTTAGTAAGGAAATGTTCGAATAAGGCTGCAGTGCAACTTTAATAAGTAGTTCGGCAGCCTTCCTCACCATCAATTAATTTGAAAGTGAGGATTTTTGGAAGGGGAACCCCCGACTTCTCTCTACCGAAAGAATTGGAAAGAGATTCTGGGCCTCTGCTTCATGTGAAATGGGCGGGCTTTTTAAACACCATTGCATTTTGATTCTCGACCCTCCGAAAAAGAAGGAAATTATAGAACTTTCCGGTGATCTGAAAAAGATCTAGTTGTCAGCGGGATGGGAAAGAAGAGGCGGAAATTGAAATTTTTTTTATCCCTTCTCATCACCTTCCACTGTGTAAGTTAGTTCCTGCAGCCGACCGGCTCATCCTTGCGTTACTAGGAAACCTCACTGAAAAGTAATTTTCCAGTCATCAAATTACTGATAAGAAAACCACCTTGCTGGTTTAAAAACTCCTTCTCACGTATTCAAAACCACTTTTTCAGAATCCAAAACTACTTATCTAGTGGTTCAGTTCTCAAATTGTTGCCATGTTGGGGTTTTCATGGGGAAATTGCTTTGTACTTTGCTGTCAAATCATTACATCAGAATCCAAAACTACTTATCTGGTGGTTCAGTTCCCAAATTGTTGCCATGTTGGGGTTTTCATGGGGACTTGCTTTGTACTTTACTGTCAAATCATTACATTGAAATTCGGGGAACACAAAACATTGAACATTTGTCGTTTCTTCTGTACTTGAAAATTTTGATACCCTCTTCTTTTTCAATGGAAAAACCACCTTATACTTTGAGAGCCAAAACCGCTTTCAAAAAATTTCGAAGATTTAATGGATAATCAGGAGGGACTTTTTCCAAAAGATCATTTTTTAATGGATAATAAGGAGGGATTGTTTACAAAAGATCATTTGCCTTTTATATTAGGAGGTCATAATCATTCTTGTCTCTTATCTACAAAAGACCATTTGCTTTTTATACAAAAAGATCATAATCATTCTTGTCTCTTAAATTTCAAAATGAGCGGTCGTAAAAATATCATTGATTAGACACAAAGTTCTAAAAAAAAAGTTTTTTGAACTTCGTGACTCACGTAAGCCATCCATTTTGCCATCTAATGAGTAAAAATAGTTGTAAATTCCATGTAAAAAAAGCAAATGGCCTCTTTATAGACATTCCCTAATCGAAAAGCTGCAACCGTTTTATAACAAGTTGTGCTGCAGCCTTATAGAAACCACGGAAAGTAATTGACGAGGCAGCAGCCTCTAATTTCACTTTTATTTTTTCTCCATATTTTAGATGCTCCATAACTCGAAATCTGTCATTTTCGTCCTTCTAATTGATCTTAGATCAAGCAGATCTGTTATTATTTTAAAGACTTCATATGCATATGTAGGGCAGAAATAAATTTAGAACGGTTTAAAATAGGGTTCATATCCGATTTTTGAAGCGGAAATCAAGTGGGGAAAAAAAACAATCAAACTCCAGTATTTGCACCTCCTTTTCTCCCAATCTATCATTAAAATGAAAGGAAAGACTAGCCGGGGACACACACTCACTCTGTCATCAAGAAGGTTGACATAACCATCATGTGGTGAACCCTCTTTCATAATTCTATCAAACAAAAATCACATACACTCTCTCTCTCTCTCTCAGTTGTAGCCTCTTAATTCTATTCACCCAAAAAAAAAAGTTCCATAATTCAATAATAAAAAAGCCAAGACATCAATCATGTGATAATTCCAACAGAAACTTGCCATCCAAGACAAACAAATAAATGTCAAATTTCAAGTCCACAGCATAGGATTTGAAAGCAAACACTTTTTTCTTTCAATATTTTTATTAACACTTACTACAAATTAAAGAGATCCTAAACAGTAAAAGAAAAAAAGGTTTCTTGGAAAGTACAAATAAAATAGTATGATTCCACATACATTTGATAGACTTCACCATGAATCAGTGATGGTGATGCTGCACATAGCGTAGGCCGCAATACTTGCACACAGCCGGTTCTTTTAGGTCGAGACATATGAATTCGATAGGATGCCCCAAAGCCGGGTCGTTATCTGTCAAATGAAGCAAAACATTAAAAAAAAAAAAGCAAAGCAAACAAAGAAGTGCATACTTTAGCTAGAAGGTTTGATATGTAGGAAATCTACATGACGAGACTGACAGAAACATTTTGGATGCACCCGTAATTTATTTTTTTCCTACTTAGATAAAAGGCGGTATTTGAGCTAAAGTTGGATATCAGCCAGAATACAAGCAGAAAACATTCCCCTAGCCACAAAGAAAACCATATAATCTCGTCAAGCCAGAATAGAAGCAGAAAACATTCCCCTAACTACAAAGAAAATCATATAATCTGGTCAATGTATGCTCTAATACATGATTCGTGCAAGAATTGGCTGAATATGTGCCATTATGAATACTGACCAATTTACAGCCAAAAATTTGTACATGTTCAGAGATCAGGTCCAAAGATTTGAAAAATTACCTCCTTCACAAGCAACAATTCGTCCGTTGACCTTGATGGGAGGGACTTCATTGATCAACTCCATTGGAGATTTCTTGGTAGTGTCCTGCACCACAAAAAAAAAGGGAAGAACAGACCTATGAAGAAGAAAGCTCCCAACTAAAGCAAATTCAGAAAAGATATTGCTTCAAAGTTCAAAGAGATCAAGCATTTCAATAATTCGAAAAAAGCCCCTTGAATGGTTTACATATCCAGGGTAAACTGAAATATAAAACCCAACATTTGTACAGTTTATATTGGGAAGTGATTTTACTTGTTTTTGTAATTGTTAACATAACTTCAAAGATTAAAAAATTGAGATTTACAAAAATAAATCCTGCACAAATTTGGGTGTGACATCTCTAAGAATAAAAAAATGTCACTTGTAAGGTTGTCTTGTGAACGCCTTACACCAGGGAGTCTACAATCTCATTTGAATCCCTCCCTGAGTGAGACAGAGAGCTTGATGTTTTCTATCAAAAGGAAAATCTCGACAAATCATGTAAGCTCCATGACCATTCCTCCTTCTTCGATGACCATGTTATAATATCTGTATAATGGAGTTCGACAATAAGCTCCTTCCACCTCGAGTCAATACGCCTTAGCCCTATCAACAAGGCCCTTGCCTCCGCCTCATTAACCTCCCCATGGCAGCGACCCCAGAAACGACAAGTATATTTTGCCCTGACGATCAGGAAGGACTCCCAATCCCTGCAGGTCCAGGGTTGCCCTGAAGAAGCTGTCAAATTCAGCTTCACAATACCCATAGGTTGGGGGGGGGGGTGTACCACAGTCCAAACCTGTTTTCTTGGGCAGACTTCACATGCCAATGGCCTCACACTGATTTTGAAAATCACATGAAAAGTGTATCCCTGGGATTCCTTCTGTGTCCTAGCCCATACAATCAGTGTAACCATCACCTTGCCCTGTAGCCACCAAATGGGTTGGGACTTATTTTAAAACTCCTGCTATTCCATTCTATACATATCATCCATAACACAGCTAATAGCGCCATTCTCAACAGAGTGCAGTCTCCTTTTGGTAAAGGAATGGAGCACCATTGTGTAAGCAACGCCTCCAAGGGTTGAGGCATCACCCAGTTTATACCAAGTATACCTAACTCGCAAAGTAGGAACAAATCATTAACTGTCTTAGCACCAATTCTGCATATCAAGCACATAGCCAGTACGATCACGTTCCTATTGGTCAGGGGATGAAGAAAAACCGAGCAAAAACCTGAGTCTTTGGTGGACAACGAATCGCTCATACCCTTTGGATAATATGGTTGTCCTTTACTGCCCTGGTTATGGTATTGTAGAGAAATTTAACCGAGAACTTGCCACCACATTGAGAAGCCCACACCATCCCATCCATCCCTCTTAGCATGTAATAGAAGCCCTCCAGTTCTGCAATAGCTTCAACAAGGTCTGGATTTCTGCATCCTTTAGATCCCTTTGCAGTTTTGGAATCCATAGTGTGTTATGCTCAAAGCCCTCAAAACATATATGAAGGGTAACACCTTGGTTCACTGCCTGGCCAAACAAATCCTAGTATCTTTCCCTCAAATTACCATTTCCCAACCCATCTTTCTACTTCCATATGCAACTTAAGACCCTATGTTTGGAATGACTAGTTGACAAGACCTATTTATAGCATTTATAGGCCCTGTGCTCTTCTCCTTTATTGTGCACTTCTTAACCGTCCATCCCAAATCATCCTTTCACAAGGTTTGAAAACTCGGCTCAGTCAACTTGGACTTGGCCGAGTTACTCAGCCTTGGCTAGGAGCCAATGTGATCTCCCATTACTTATTACGTTCATCGGACATGTAAGATAAACTTATCTTTATGTGTCACTTTGGTCTATCCAGATCACGATACACATAAATCTAGCATTTATCCAAGGATTAGGATCTATGAAGTGACAAACATAGGTCAACCTTATCCTTTCCAAGACTTAATCTGAATTCCAATGAATTTAGAACTGTAAAGAGTTCAGGATTTTGTCCTCAAAAGAGTACTCTTTTGAAAGTGGTTAACCATTAAACCCCAACTAGGACATATCTAAATTAGTCAAATTGAAGCTTGACTGCGATCTAGTGACTTAAGCAAGCAGAGGACTGGCGTTAACATGGTTGAACCCCTTATCGGACATCAAATTGGATGAAATTTGAACAATAGGTATATGATCTGATCGATTGTGTAAGGCCTGCAATAGCAACGGGAACCGGCGAAAGTCTACAAAAAAGATATCATACATGATGGAGTTGCGAATATTTCTGGATAGTTATCCTACCTGAACTTATTTCTTTCTGGTTAAAGTTTCTCTTTCTAGTTGCTCTGGAACAATTGAGAGATTCTCTGGAAAAATACGGGGCTCTGATTTTGGTGGTGATAATTATTCATCTGCTTCTCATGCTCCGTGAATAGCTGGGACATTGAGAAATATCCAGAAAGGCATTTTGGGAATCAGGGCAGTGGATTGTTATGCCCAAAACCCCATCAGATGTTCCGCTACTGTCCATCAAAATTTGAGCTTGAAATAAAATGATTAGGTTAGGTTCTCAATTGACTGCAGTCTGGTAAGGTAGACCATCCATAGATACATAGACTGTGGTCCCAGTGTCTCAAACATGTATAGATAGCAGTGACTCTCACTTCAGCCCCTTATTGTGGATACCAAATTGGGTCAAATTTGAACGATAGGCTCACTAACAACCTTTGACTTTATAGGTCAAAAAGAGCACCAGAAAAGCAAGGGTATAAAGTTGCCTGTTGTTTTGGACTGCAGAGCCATATTAAAGACCAACAGCATTTGGATTCTAATTGAAGTCTAACTTACTCAAAACCATCCAAACATAGAGATGTGAGAGTTTATTCGTTTTTCCAAAGTGACCGATGAAATGATCGGTAATCGAATTCATTGGTTCAAATGGGATTTGGGACAGTGAGTTGCTCTCCAGTGAGAGTTGATTGCAATAAGTACCTAATGAATTCGCATCCTTGATGCAACTTAATAAGTCTTAACATACTTATGAGCAGTTATAATTATATCCACCACAAAATAAGTAAAATCTTCCCCAACAAAAAGTGAGAAGGGACAGACAGGGATATAGAATTTTCAAAATAGGACATTCCCAGAAATGAGGATAAACTATTACTGGAAGAACATAACTGTTTGACTTAAGTCCATTATATGGTCTATGCATTCAAAGTTAACATATTTTTGTTTAATGTATAGAGGAATGACCACAAAGTTCAGAAGTAAAATTTATTTGCATGATTGATACCAATTCTCTTAGTTTCCTTCAATGAACTATTATTTTTTTCAAATTTTGGATCAGTCAAAAGACTCAGATGTCTTCTTTCCCAAAAATGAAAAAAAAAAAAGAGTTTAGTATGAGATTCACCTACCACAAAGAAGTATGTAATTATAAGAATACTTATCAAAAAAATACATCCAGAACATGCTTAAAACTTTGATCAAAAAGCTATACTGAAATAGATCTTAATCATAATGTTTCACCAAAAATCTGAACTCGCTATACAGAAATAGATCTTAATCATAATGTTTCACCAAAAATCTGAATTCCCTATAACGCACAAATGAAAATATTCAAATGAACCAAAATTTTAATATAAACGATTCAATAATCATAGCATTTACATTGTCTAGTCAATATATAATCACCAGCAAAAAAAAAGCAAGACCGATTTAGATAATTGAATCCAATTACTATATATAAACAGGGAAGAAAATTCCACCGCATAAAGAAACAAAGAATATTGTATAAATTACAGGAGAAGTTAAGAAAAAAGAATCATCAACATCAGAAACCCCAAATTCATGGAGATGTGGACTAAATAGATTAAAACCTGCATCCATTTCGCAGTGTGGGCGCTGACAAGAGAGGAAAGGTTTCGGGTACTGATGGCGCTGTTGCTTCTGTGAACATTTGATAGCAAAGAAAACCCTAATTTCCTAACCGAAGCCATTGCTCTCTCCTCGCTGTTTCTCAATCCTCCTGTTCTTTCTTTTTGTTTTGCTGTGTTTCTCAATAGCGAGCAATGGTATCCCCGCGATCATTTTTAAACAAAAAGACGAAAATACGCCTCAACTCCCGGAAATAGACGGTACTATAGATTCCAGTTTGTACAAAGTTTATATAAGGATGCACTTCAAAATTCCATCGGAAAAGATTTTAAATCAATATATTATCTACATCGTCTACTTTCAAGATTTTTTTATGTTTATAGATTTATTTGATTTTAACTATTTTTAATTTTAAAATTTTATAATTAGATATAAAAATAAATTTCAGGTAATCTTTAGAACATTTTATATCAAAATTATATACCATGATAAATTTGAAAGTGCACCTTACATCTATAGCTACGGATGCATCTTTATGCCAACTGCACCCTTTCAGTTTTATTGCTCGCAATATCTTAAAGAGGAAAATGGTAGATACCTAAATTATGCTTTCAAGACATCCTATCACCTAAAATTTTTTGTATTTCATTCTAAACTCTATGCTATTTTTTCTTATATTTGCTTCTCAAATTAAAATTCTTATATTTACACCTCAAATTAGAGTGTCAAATGGGAGTTAGAACAAATATGCCCTCACTTTCTCTTTTTTTCTCTATTTTAGAGTCACGTCACTCTCTCACTACAAACATGCTGATTATATTGATGCCTAGCATAACATACTGACACTCAAAAACCCATATAATTCTCACACTTGGTTCTTACAGTTTAAAATACCTGTAAACACTCCATTTCCAAACTGGTTTCGTAACTTGTTTGCAACATGGGGATCTTTAACCCAAATACTACCTGAACCTCTGCAATTCTCTCAAAACCGTTTTATTGAATTCAATGGGAGTGATCCCAATATAGATTACCACCTATATTTTATTGCTATGTATCAGATACCATGGATCGTCAAATGGAATTTTGTGATAACCCCAAATAATACGAATAATTTTGAATATATGACATGTTTAGGCAAACAAATTGCCATAAAATGGTGGGACGTCTTTGTCTACCATAATATTGAACCAGACAATATACAGCTCAAACAAATCCCTTTAGCATATGGCTCACATTTATACTCCAACCCAAATAGTTTGGCAGAATATTACCATGATGAAAAAGCAAAATCCCAAGCCATCAAGAAAGAATTAGAAAAACAATTAATAAAAATATTTGAAGAAGAGGTAGAAAATGTCCAAATTCATGATGCATCCGGCACACCCAGCAACCCCGAAATAGAAGTGCCACCTGACACACCAAACCCATCAGGACATGGAATGTCCCAAAAACATACATTGTATTAACGTACCATATTCCAGATTTATATATCAAAGATTCTCCTTCATACCTTGCAAAAGTATTTCAAAAAAGCACATGTGATGTGATGTGACAAAAAGCAGATGTGACAAAAAGAAGATGTGACAGAAAGCAAGGTAGATGTGACTAAAGCAAGGCAGACATGACTAAAGCAAAACAAAAATGACTAAAGCAAAGCAGACGTGACTAAAGTAAAGTAAAAATGATTGATACGACAGCCACTACCTGATGCGACAGCCACCACCTGTGCCCACTAAAGCTAAACGACAAATGCCGCCTGTAAAAGCCACCAACAAAGTCGTCCACCTGTCTCCAACTTTCCATCAAGCCGTCTTTTCTCAATAAAGAAAGATTCCTTCCCAAATAATCGAGACGGATCACTTGGCATCCATCCTGGCCCTTTTTCCTCTATAAATAGAGGGCACCACTCCATTTGAAGAAACAGGGAGAAAAAATCCTCAGAGCAATTCCTCAGAGCAATTCCCCTATCTCTTGATCAACTTCTTCCTCTTTCCTCTCTTATTTGTAAAAATCTCTCTCTATGTGTGATTGTAACCACTCTTTATTGCCAAGCCACTGTCCACCAGAGTGGAAAGATTTCTGCAGTTATTGTTTGTGCATACTGTAAGTACTCTCTCTTTGCTTCAGTCTGTAACAGTTGTTTGTAACAGTTTGTTAGTTTTGTTTAAGCTTGCTTCACTCTGTAACAGTTGTTTGTAACAGTTTGTTAGTTTTGTTTAAGCTTGATTCAGTTTGTAACAGTCTGTTAAAGTTGTTTGTAATATTTTGCTTAGAAACATTTATAAGTTTGTGAAATACAATTTACAGTTGTTATGATAATTCGTGTAGTATGTAGCTTAAAAATATATCAAACTACTTATAATATGTGGCTTACTATTGATATTACTCCAGTATCCCTTATAAGCATTTTAATGTTAAGTCTCTATTTCGGTTACTTAAGGTTGACAGTTTAATATAGTAAGTAGTTATAGTAAGTAGGTAAAAACTAATGTCTCAAGATTGAATAAAGACCATCCAAGTTTTAGATGGTTATATATGTGTTTGAAAATTCAAATTTCAAAGGAAAAAGTTTATATAGAACCGAGGCTCTAAACAATCAAATTAGAGCCTATCTAAAAAGTTTCACTAAAAGAGGTTGTTTAATGCACAAATATCTCTAAATTGATCATCTCGATTGATATTAAGATGAATGGACGTAAGAAGAAAAAATGTATTTCAAGTTTTAGAAATAGTATATTTTGTAATGCATTTTTGTACTGTCAATTTTCAAGACTTCTAAGTTTTTATGGACATATCTATCTACACTATTTTTGAAGCTTTAAACTTTATAATAAAGATGAAATTATATTTTAAAGCTATCGTAAATATTTTCAGTATAGAAACCACATTTCTCAATACTATTTGGAGGTATGCTCTAATTTGATTGTTTATAGCCTAAGTTCTATACAAACGGCACCCAATTTCAAAACTATCTTTTAAGAATAATCATTTAATAATTCTTAAGTAGCTCCCAAAATTTTCATATTACAAAATAGAAGGCTTTGCAGCGCGAGCAAAGCAATCTAGAGTACTTTGCAACATAAAAGCGAAAGTTAAAAAAACGAAAAAAACCCAAGGGGGACTTTTGGCTGAGGGCATAGAAGTAAACCATACTATACTCCCGAGGGAGTATAGCGTACACACTCATCATAGATATTTATTTTCTCGTCGTAAAATCTCAATAATTTTAAATTCGTGGTAGTTGTTGTCACTAAACACGAGAGCAAAATTTACTCCCATTAGCAAGTGACTTTTATAGGAGGCTTGGTATGTCTAAAATGTAAATTTTACATTTATTTCCATTAGCATATGATTTCTATTATGTTATTTGTCTAAATTATATGTTTTCGTTCATTGCTGAAATCGTTCTAGTGCGATGTTTGGTTAGTTGTGACTATGTCTCCAAGCCTAACCACCAAATATTAATCTCTAATCGACGAAAACTTTTAAATGGTTAATAATAAGGTACTTTTTATGTTCTTTCAACCTTAAATCATTGAAAGAGTATAATATGAATATTAAATTTTTTCATGCTATTGCAAATGATAAAAGAAGACTTAATGATGTTCCTGGTATTAGTTCAGAGGGGGTGGGAGAGGAGGATAAGGAGGAATGGGAAATTAAATTCATTAAACACTTTAAAAAAGCGTTTTCCTCGAAATTGCCTTTCCGGGGTAATTTCAAGGAGTTCCATTTAAAATGTTACCACATGAAGTGTCCTTGGCTTGGAAAGAAATCCTTGGCTTGGAAAGAAAAGTGAAGGTTGAAGAATTAAGAAGGGTTGTATTTGCATTCCTAGGGCCAGATGGACACCCTTTAGCCTTTTTTTCACAATTTTGAATTTTGAGCATTCAAACACTTAGATCTTATCCTCCAAAAATTGGATGGTCTCTATTCACTCTTGGGATATTATTTTTTTCAGAGACAAATTATTCATAAACTATATTTTTTCTTAAATAAATTATTGATACATTATATTCTAGAAAAGTTTATATAAGGTGCCAACCTTATACTGTAGAAGGTGAACCTTAAAAATTCACCCAAAGAAGTTGTTCCGGTGTCAAAAAACCCTACAATGGATCTCTTCCTTGAGATATATGCATATTGAAGAAAAATGATTTCAAGTCATAAAAATAGTGCATTTTGTAGACCGTCCATTTTCAAAAAATTTAAGCACTTGTAGATTTGCTTGATCTACAACGTTTTTGGAACTTAAAATTTTATAATTAGTTGTGAAACAGATTTTTAGGCCATCATAAGGGCTTTCGAAACCTACACTCCATCTTTAAGCAAGATATAGAGGTCCATCGTACGTTGATTGCTTAAGGTTGACAACCGTATGTAAACCACACCCTTATTTAATTGAGGATGAAAAAATGCAATTATTTATGTAAAGTATCCAAAGTGACCATTTACTTTTAATATGAGTTCACAATCACTCTTGTGCATTATGTTTCAAATCGGGTGGTTGTGAGTGTCATTGACTAGACTTAAAGTTAAAAAAGAAAATTGAACTTTATGATACCCCCCACGTCATTTAATTTGACATCTAATGGCTAGTAGCAATATGTTTATGCTCGAAAATGTGGGCAAGAAACTTAGTCAACTTGTCAAAATAGTTGATAGAGAAAATATCATGTCAAATTACGTTTTGGGCGAGAATCAAGCCACAAGATCTTATCCCGCTAGGACCGCCGGCAAAGTCGGCATCCTACATAGCTTAGCCTTGGAGTTCAAGAGGGGTTTTGAAATATTTAGTGAAGAGAGGGGATTTAACAAAGAGTTTCAAAGAAAAATGAATCTAAAGAAAAGTGTAACAATCCTAAACTTTTGAAAAAAAAAAAGAGAAGAAAATAAACTTTTAATACGTGATGATTCGTTTGAACATGGTGATCCTTAGGGACCATCTCTACTTTTCAAAGCTTTTCGTTTAAAAGCTTTGTTGCTTCTTTACGAAAAGCTTCTTTACGCTTGACGTGGGCTTTAGTCGTTTAAAGCGTAACCTAACGCTCACACCTGTAACATAATAAAAAAATAAAATAATATATTAGTAGAATTTAAATTTAGAGAGATGAGGACTCCTACCTTAGAAAACTTATGAGATTTTTCTCTCTGGTCGAAACACAGTGAACTCCTCTCTCTAGCCGAATTTTTATCGGAAGCTCCTTCTCAAATAATTGTGGGTAAGTGACATCGTCTT